GTAGAAAAGGCGAGAAAGCAACCAATAATCACCTTCCATTTTGAAGAGGTTTATGAAAGTTGCGTGCATATTGCAGCGTTTTACGCGTAATACCGGTGCCGGATGTAATGCCAGAATGCAGTGGGGCACGTGGTAGAATTCGCAACCATGTGAATAAAGAGGCACTCATGCTGTTAGCTGCTCGTGAGCCACACTCGCGCTTTCAACCGCATGGACAGTGCTGCCTAGTGAAGTGTGCGCGGCTGTCAGTGGGGACGATAATACGGTGCGCCCTATACGCCACTCCTAGTGCTTAGAAAACGCACTCGGATGTTCCCGTTTCATTTGGCATCAATAACATAGCTTGGCAAACAGCAGAAAAAATGGGCGAAAGGGGTCAGGAAGAGGAGAAAAAAATGGCACCGTATCTGCATGTTAGGTTTGCGTCTGGAGAGAGTGAACAAACCGTTTATTTGATGTTCTGGGTGAGAAAAATGGTGAATAGCATTCTGTAGGTGGTGCGTTAGAATGTCTATATGCGTGCAGCGTGTCTCGTGCAGCGTGGAACGCAAAGCGACGGGTGCCACCACCACGCCTTAGTAAAGCGTTGAAAACACTTGCGTTTTTGTGTATAGCGCTGCATTGTTTGCGGAGCTTGATAAACGCAATGGTCCTCTGAATTACTTTTGTATGCCTCCTATAGTATAAAAATACAAACCACAGAATATTGACCTGCTGTTATGGTGCCTCAGAAACGCCTAAATACTGCTTTTTACTTGACAATCGCACAAGTGTGAACGCTGCATCTGGAGCTATAGTGGTGGGTGCTGAGGATGGGGTTGGATTTTGGCCGTTTCGGGCATTCCTTCGGCGTACAAGCACACAAACAGAGCGACAGTCCAAACGTTTGGCGTCGAAGTACCCCAAGAAAGACTAACGTGGCTTTTCCCAGATTAATTTGCCGCTTTGGATGATTTGGCATCTACTTTACGTGGCTAAGAGAAGATTGAGTATATTAAACCTAAATTGCTCCATTTCTCACTGAACTCCAAAATTGAGCGTAGGCGTCCCGTGCCGACGGAGTAAAAAAGAATAAAGTAAAAAATAATCATACTGTGGTAACGTCACCAAGAAGTCACAGATTGCAAAAATTTTAGAAGCCATCATGACGGCATGATGACGTTACATAACCTGACGTTATGCGATGGTGTTATCACATGACATAATCCCTTTATACTGCCTCCGTGATTGTTAGGCCAATCATGGAAGCAGTGCGATACCAGGTGATATGGCAGGAAGCTTGCAATACCTCTGATCTTTCAGACGAAACCACACTACAGGTGCAGAAAGCTTTTGGAAAGAGGAAAGGGGGTGACAATGCATCAACTGAGAATGAAAGTAAGGTAGTTTTAACTTTCGAGTCGTTTTGTGGTCTAGTGGTCAAGGTACTCGGCTGCTCATCGGCAGGTCGTGGGACCAAATCCAGGTGGCGGCGACTGCATTTTCAATGGAGGTGAAAATGCTGTAGGTCCGTGTGCTAAGATTTGGGTGCACGTTGAAGAACCCTAGGTGGTTGAAATTTCCGGAGTTCTTCACCACGGCGTTTCTCATAATTATATAGTGATTTTGGGACGTTAAACCCCACATATCAATCAATCAGTCAATCAATCAATCAATCAATCAATCAATATCAGCTTTCAAGTCGTTACAGGAAAATGCGTATGGGATCAGAGTTTCAAATGCGAACATTATTTTTGCGTACCACAAGCACTTTTGGCGTCTGTTTGCGTAAATATCTGTCTATATATTTAGTCGCTGACATCTGGGTGCTCTCGCGATCACACCCCCCCCCCCCCCCCCGACTTGGTGTGAATAAAAATTCGTGTGGTTGGATAAGATGGTTTGACGATTACGACGCGCTAGACAGGACATGAATAATGTCACAATCCCGTCACGTACGTCGTCAACCACTTACTGTTGCACCGTGGCACATACCCGAGGGCGGGTATGTGCCACGGGTATTCGGGTATGTGTCATAGTTGGCTGATAGTTACTGTTTACCCAGCAACGAGGAGAACGCACATGGGCACTTTTAACAGGTGAGCGTTAAGACAAAGTGGATATTGGAAGCGTTGACCCGACAAATATAAACAATGATTGTCAGAGTCTCATCAGGAATCGAACCCAAGCATTCTGCTTGGCAATCGAGCATTCTATCACAGAGCAACGTTATGTCTCGGAACTACTTTTCTGATAAGAATTATTGTTCTTGACAAATGAATTGTGGTTGAAGTACTGGCTATTCAATTTTATAAACATCACATATGTAGTACTATGATACAGCACTCATGTCGGTGGTTAACATCAATTGCTGTTATGTGCTATGCGCTTCAGTTCATTTATACACGAATGTGCAGGGCTATCATTTTCGCGAACACCAGCGCTTCATGTCAGCTTATCGGTTCTGGTGCTGCTAATACTGATGTTCCTGTTGTCATTGTTGCGCAAGTCTGAACAAGTTTACATTAACATCTGCAACTTTTCAACATATGTCTGTGCGTGCAACATTTGTACATAATTTTAGCGTAGTTTCACAGCATGTCGCACAATAAAAAAGTTGTAACACGATCACCTTCTCCGCACATGCTTCTCATAAGGTCGATTCCCAAGATGTGTAAAATCTGCCGAATTAATTTTTTTAGCTCGAAAGTGGTTTATGCTGGAGTCCACCTCGGCTCCGCCATAGAGTTTGCTCAACATACACTAGAAGGAACTCTGGTGCTAGTGCCTATGGGAGCTGCAACACATGGTGCTTCAGCGATCATGGGAACAGCACCTCCTTTACTTTGAGATGCCTGGCACGTCGCCCGCGCTTCTATTGTTCACCCAGATTCGCTATGTTCTTACGGTTTTCAACGAGGTGTCACGACCTTCTGACACTACGCTCCGCAAACCCCGTCACATAGAGTCACTGCGTCGGTAACTCTAAAAAAAATTGACGTGTTTAACCATGAGTGGATTTCGTGCTTAAACCTAAGCAGGGCTCAGCAGAGGGAAAACGGACAAGTTCTCAAGATGAAATAAAAGTGCAATGAGCATCAAACAACAAAATTATAGAGCAATGTTTATTTACTGCACCAAAACTGCAGGTTAAACTCGTCATACTTGGGGTATGTTGAAGGCAACGAATTATTCCAAGATGTTAATAATGAAGAAAGAAAAATTGTTTTAAGATCTAGAACAGAACAACTTACATCAGTACCAATCACAATCAAACACACGTTAATACATATAACAAAGGGAAAATGAAGGTTTGAAGGGAAAATGAAGGGAAAATGAAGGTTTGATTATCCCATAAAGTAGCCTGTTATTTTTGAAAACAGTTCCAATAAAAGTTTAGAGAATTTTTGCCCACAGCAAGCTATGTGCAATGTTTCCCTGCTAAGCAGAAAACTATCTTACCAAATATTTTCCCTTTCAGCCAACGTGAACGCTTACTAGCTGAGGCAAGCTTGTTTCACCACCCTATTTTTATCCTATGTTTCGGTATTTACCTTTGCAGCTAGTTGCAGTTCCAACTCTTTGTTTTCCTGCGGTGGAGAGGACTTGTACTGGGCTGCATGTCACGTCAAAGCGGCATCCACAAGCGAGTTTTGTAGCGCACAATTCTGCCCACGCAAATGTTGTGCATCTTTTTCTATCTGGAGTAAATCTGGAATAAAAAATTCAGCGCAACACAGAGCTTCTTCAGAAAGAGGCCAACCCATAAAAAAAGAAACAATTTTTTTATGCTAAAGCAAAACTTTTCGTAGATTATGAAGTGAAAACTTACTGACAATTGCGATATAGTAAGGTGAAGAGTTTGAGATAGGCATGTAAGTACGTAGAGTTATGAGCTAGCCTTTATTTGTAGCTTCTTTTTTGCATCTGTTTTATTTCTTGTTACTTTTATGTTTTTTGTCCTATTACTTGTTTCATTTTCTTCTTTTGTGTTTCGGTGACGAAGTTCTGAGAGTAATCAAGCCGGAAGTGGCAAAACAGGAGTGTCGAATGGTTCAGTGCGCTGAAACAGGCGCCTACGGCAAGGGCCAACGAAACGACAATGCTCAATCCAGTTACGGCCGCTAAAGATTGCTGTCTAAAAAGAAGTGCACGAGTGAGCCATTCTAATTGCAAAGCATACATTTGAGTACTGCAGGTACTTCTAGCGTGTCTATCTACGTATCTATCTATCATTCGATATAGCCGCCCACGTCTGCTCACTCTGGTGATCACACCTTTCACTTGGGGTAAACCAGAACTACTATGGGCGGGTAAAATGTTAGACGAATATGACTCACTCGTCATGGCATGAATAGTGTGAGAATCTCGTCATGTACGTTGCCAAACTTTTTTCATCAGACACGTGTGACTTATACCCGTATACCACGGTTGATGATGATGATGATGATGACATGTGAGTTTAACGTCCCAAAACCACCGCTTGATTATGAGAGACGCCGTAGTAGAGAGCTCCGGAAATTTTGACCACCTGGGGTCCTTTGATGTGCACCCAAATCTGAGCACACGGGCCTACAACATTTTCGCCTCCATCTGAAATGCAGCTGCCGCAGCTGGGATTCAAACACGCGACCTGCGGGTCAGCAGCCGAGTGCCTTAGTCACTAGACCACCGCGGTGGGGCCCCAAAGTTGAGAATGTGCTAGACGTTTTTAACAGTTTATTCATACCCAGGAACGGCGAGAACAGACACTGGCAACTCCGTGGCAAATCGACGCTGTTCTTAGAAACCGCTCGAACACTTATCATGTCTAATGTTGCTTTACGTATATATTAATGAATTTACAATCTTTGTTTAGAGTATCTGAGCAGATTTGCTTTTAATGCTTACGGTATACTTCGGCAGTGTTTACCATGATCACAGTTGCTTCAGCCACAACAGAAAAACAAAATAAATTTGTCCGAGAGGCTGGGGTATACCTTTAAAAGCGCACTAATCCATGCAAAAAAAAATAAAACAATCGCAGCCGGCAGGATTCCAACCTGCGCAGGGATGACCCAATGGATTTCGAGTCCATCACCTTAACCGCTCGGCCACGACTTCATGTGCTCGCAGTCGCTATCGAATTGCCACTGCTAGGTGTGGATTACGTTGCAAGCGCTTCCTCTTCTATTGTTTGCGACCGTTTTTGCCGCACTTCGCGTCCCTCTTTTTTGTTGTGTGTGTGTGTGAGATGACTTACCAGCAATACTCGCGTTGCAGTGCATGCAAGTAGAAGTTGAACCATGCCGTAGATTTAGGGAAAACAATTCTAAGCAGCATATACGTTCTTCAAACGTGTCTTACGAAAGATGTCAACGTCTTCAGCACTTAGAAGTGTGGCAGCTTGGGCTAGTTGGTATGGCATGACGATAGTTATAGCGCGAGAACAAAACGACGACACAGAGAGAAGAAGGACACGAAAGACACGAGCGCTAACGTCCAACTGAGTTTATTGTGCAGAGCATGAAAATATATAGAGGAGACAGGGACCATGTGATAAAAACCATATGGCACAAGAGCAGAACATGAGTAAGAAAAACAAAAACAAACAACACAAAAACAAAGGCACTGAAAAACAGCAAAGAAAAAACCTAGAATAAAACGAAACAGAAAGGTAAAGATAAAATAACTACCTGCCCGCACCGAAACCTTCGAGTAACCTGCGTTCCTTCTCGGACAAAGCCACGGAGGGCTTGCTAATACAAGGCACCTGTTCGCGTGCCATCTGCGCGGCCTCGGCAATGACCCGGGTGCTTTCATCTCTGTGTTTGCAATTGTGTTCCCCTCTTCAATGACACAGCGACGCTGTACAAACACAGAGATGAAAGCACCCGGGTCATTGTCGAGGCCGCGCAGATTTTAATGTTGAATTTGGCGCCAAAATTACTGCACCAGACGTTAGGGATTTCAACGTACATTTTTCACAATTTAGCGACTTTCGCTCAACAAAGTTTCCCGCATCTTAGTATGTTAAGTCTCGGTAGCCCTCAGAGGACAATGTATAGACTAATTTAGGTGCGCAGGATTTTTTACGCACTGCAGGTGCTTACAGAGTTTTAAATGTGAAGCGTTTCTTAGCGAAATTCGACAACTTTGAGCGTATCTATCTATCTATCTATCTATCTATCTATCTATCTATCTATCTATCTATCTATCTATCTATCTATCTATCTATCTATCTATCTATCTATCTATCTATCTATCTATCTATCTATCTATCTATCTATCTATCTATCTATCTATCTGTGTGCCTATCTATCTATCTATCTATCTATCTATCTATCTATCTATCTATCTATCTATCTATCTATCTATCTATCTATCTATCTATCTATCTATCTATCTATCTATCTATCTATCTATTTATCTATCTATCTATCTATCTATCTATCTGTGTGTCTATCTATCTATCTATCTATCTATCTATCTATCTATCTATCTATCTATCAACTACGACTTTTAGCTCTCCTGGCCGTTTGGATAATGGTATCGACACCAAACTTGGTATGCCATAACAGGACTGTATGAAGAAAATACTAATTATAACAAGAAAATCACGAAATGTATATAATGAATACCATGATTTGCATTTCATGATCCTGCAGTCTTTGCGGTGGTTTCGTTCACATGGCATGTTGCAAAACTGGTATGGTATCGCATGATTGCTTGGCGAACACAAGCGACAGACCCTAACATGAAAATCATGACATGCATGTCATGTAACAACATGACTACATGCCACTTTGATGATAGGCTCGCGGCCGTTTCGCTAGCGTCACATATACAAATATCGGCATTACAGTACGTGAATAGATGACGAAGGTATGTGACTGGTGCAAACATGATAATGATGAGATGGGTGTCATGTAACTACATGGCTACATGCCATGCTCATGATGCACTGGCGCCCGTTTCGCTAGCTTCACATGTACAAAACTCGGTATTCCGCGACGCGAAGGGACGACATAGGTAAATGACACATCCAAACATGATAACTACGCCATGCGTGTCATGTTATATGACTGCATGCCACATTAATGATGTGCTCACGGCTGTTTCGCTCGCTTCACATATGCCGAATTTGGTATTACGTGACGCCAAGGTATCACGAAAGTATGTGACTTGTGCAAACATCATATTCATGAGATGCGTGTCATTTGCGAACATGAGTACATGCCACAGTGAAGGCACCAATATATTTCGACGTGACGTGGCGCGCGTGCTCACCGGCGTTCATTTCGTCGCGTCACGCCGGCGTTGCCACGCCTGCGGCCGGTCTTGCCATATACTCGCAGGCTCACACCGCGCTGCGTTGCTTTGACGTATGCGCGTTTCAGCGTGTCCGGCGTCCCTCCGTCACAAAAAGAGGGAGACGGAGTGCTGTCTGGGTAACGCATCGGCGCGAAGTGTGGTACGTCGCATTTCGCGCTGGTTGCCGTCGGGCCGTGCCAACGGACGTCGGTTGCGCCTGGCGTCAGACTAGAGAGTGCTCGCATTTTGCTAACCTAGCATCGCTGTGCCCAGCGTGAGCGCGCGTCAAGGCTACATTAGACTATACTGGGCTCTTCCTGATTCGCTCGCGGCCATTTGGGTAGCTCCACATATACCGAATTCGGTGTTATGTGCCGTCAATATATGACGAAATATATCACTATGCAAGGAATATGCAAAGAATGAATGCCAGGGTCCCTGCATGAATCCAACCCCAGCATTTTGCGTGACAACCAAGTATCTTACGAAAGAGCCACGCGAGGTCTCAGAACTGCTTTTCAAGTGAACCGTAATGTTCATGAAATGTCAATTGGGGTAGCAATGCTGGCTATCCAAAATTTTAAACAGTACATAAGTACTCCTGATGCCCCGCGAGCTTCTTTATATTTTTATTTGTCTGGTGTATTGCACTTATGTACTCTATAGCACAATCTGCGCCAGAATGTCTAAAGCGATTCCAGATAATTTTCGACTCATCTGTCCGATTAGAGCGGGCAAGCGTAAATAGTTGAGTTTGTTTTAACGTATTCTGCGACCAGCAATAATGATGGATTGTTCACCTATGCGTGTCTAAATGTCGGCACGCGTGTCCATGGATCAGTTGATTGATGGCCAATGCTTTTTTGCCAATGTAAGCGCAGACCATGCATTGCTTGCTGCAGTTTCAATTTCCATTTCCCGTATACAAATTCAGCGGAATGACAAATAATATCTTGCAAATGGTGACTAATGTATTTGCAAGATTTTTGATTCCATGACACGAAGTCGTCAAATCTGGTGGTTAAATTTATAATGCCACCTACTGAAGTTAACTTATGCAAAAGTGTCCTGGGCAACCACCGTTGCCAGTACAAAAGCTATATATCTGGTGACCACTTCTGGTGTTGGTAATATTCATGTTGCTGTTGGCATTTTTACGCAATTCTAAAAGAGTAGTTAGGCAAAATATATGTCCCTATACTCAAAATAAATTTTCGCATACAGAATTTTCACGCATGATTTTGGTCATTTCATAAGATTTGCTTGATGAAAAAAATGCAGCACAGTCACTATTCATTCGCATGGTTTGCATAACTTTGATATTCCCAAGGATCGAGGGATCTGCCGAATTTTTAACAGCATAACCAAAAACCTAAGCTGCGTCTTGCGCTAGCAACACAATATCTCTGCCGGCGCCTGCTGTATTCATCATGTTTTGCATCTTATTATTCCTTAATAAATGAAGAGGGCTTGCACTTGGCCACGTACGTTTCAGAAGTAGATTAGTCACAGTACGTTTTACTGCGGAGTTGTTGATTTTCATTGTGACAAAACGCTTTCGCAAAAACTGTCATCATCGTTAACAGTCTTCACCTTTCTGGCACTTGCAACGCAATAACTCACCTGGCGCGCGCCCTATTCATCATCTTTCTCAACTTCTGTTTCGCTCAGCATTGACGCATCAAGCGAGCTCTCCTGCGGCGCCGATTTGTCCGGCGAGAGATACAGTAACTCAGATGGGTAAGAGGGCGAACATACTCAGCGAGAGAAACAAACAAATATCAAGATAAAGAAAGAGAGAAAGTTTTGGCGAAATAATTTCTTAATTAGGTGGGAACGCTCGGCTCTCCTGGTGTGCTCGTAGAGCAGAAGCTAAGTGTATAATAAAACACAGAAAAGGGTTGGGAAAGGTAACTGTGGGTAAGAACGAGGGTAAGAAGTGAAATAGGGTATAGCATTAAGATAAAGAGAGTGTGATGACGTTTATTGAACTGGAGAAGTCGCAACGATGTCGCAACGAAAAATGGCCGTACGACAAGCCTCGCAAAGGCGGCCTAGGTTCTCGTGCAATCAGAGCACGGGGTTTTTCCTTCTCTTTGGAAGGCGCATACACGTTAGTGCGTATGCTTCACTACAATACCCCCCGGGTTGAAGAGTAGCCATCCTGGCGACTCAGGGAGTAGGCACAATGAGGGGGTCGTAGCAGGGCTTGAGACGGTCGACGTGTACAGTCTCGCGTCCTCGACGGCGCAAATCTGGCGATTGTGTTAGGGGCTCGATGATGTAATTCACCGGCGAGGTTGCATCAATGACACGGTATGGACCATGGTACCGGGCCAGAAGTTTAGAAGACAGGCCAGGAACGTGCGGGGGCACCGAAAGCCACACGAGGGAGCCAGTACGAAACGTAGGCGCTATGTGATGAGCGTCATCATGTCGGGTTTTTTGTAGACCTTGAGCCTCACTTGTCATAGACCGAGCCAACTGACGGCAGTCTTCAGAGTATCTGGTGACTTCCGAAAGCGGGGAGCACTCCGATGCATCAGGGCGGTACGGGAGTATGGTGTCGAGGGGGTGGGATGGTTCGCGGCCGTACAACAGAAAGAACGGGGAAAAACCGGTAGTCGCTTGCGTCGCGGTGTTGTAAGCGAAGGTAACAAAAGGCAAGACAGCGTCTCAGTTAGTGTGGTCGGAGGAGGTGTACGTCCTCAGCATGTCGCCAAGTGTGCGGTTGAACCGTTCAGTGAGACCATTCGTCTGTGGATGGTATGCGGTAGATTTCCGGTGGATGATGTTGCATACAGCGAGAA